ATTTAAATGCAATCATTGGATGATCAAAACTTAATATATACATAATATAATTTGAAATTCTAATTTTTTAATAATCTTAACTTCTATTCCCATGAGATGAATAAGTTTGAAGTATATAAGTACATCAAATTAACAACATACTTTAGACGGAATACGTGTAGTTTAATTATATATCTATTTTAAGATTAAATAAATGTTTATGGAGATAGAGCCAATGATTTCATAACGAAAAGTGACGCAATTAATCATTCAAAGAGCTTCTTGTTTATTGTATAATTTAAATTATTCGATTATTTATGTTTAAAATCGTATCTTTTTGGTTGTTGATAAATATGTATTTCTTAGCAATAATTTCATAAAATAATTGATGTAAATATTAAATTTATACACATTGTTAGACCAAAAATTAACAATTAAAAGGTAGAATATTTTTTGACAAATAAAAAATAAGGATTTAATTTGTTTTCATATTTCTATTGCTTTAGGCTATATTTTTAAATTAGATATATTTATTTAATGAATTGATTATACATTAGAATTGCAAATATCTAAATCAATATATTGTTTGGCCCATCACAATCAACATATATGAATAAATCAATTATCATATATCAATATTAATTATAAAATGTTTATGTAACAATAATTAGTATTAGATTAATAGTGAAATTACAACTATTTCCATGATTTTCGCTATGTGGAATAAATTATTGATTTCAATCCATTTATTTCAGTTTGTATAATCTAATTTAAGCCAAATTTTAAATTAATTTCAAAGACTTTTTAATTTAAGTACTGTAATATTTAAAAAATCCTCATTGTTTTTAAACAGACATAATTTTATATTTTGTTCAACAGTTTTTATTAGTAAAACTTTTTATATTATTGTTTTTTTTGTATGTATTTAATTCCTGGAATTCAAGCAGTTTTTTTTATTACAAATATAGTAAAACTTTTGTACCAAATATTATGTAATTGTATTATATGTAAATATACTTAAACCGTAATTTCAATGAAAAATTCTAATTAATAGGTACACATAAAATACTTGCATTGTGTTTATAGGCCAATTTCCACTTTAAAAATGAGACATTACAATAAGTAAAACATAGTATTAATAATCTATTCTTTGTTTAATGCGTTTATTATAATAAATAGAATAATAGATCATAATAATATTTAATGAAAATGAAATCAAGACTCTTTTTATGTAATTTATTTTTATGTAAATTTGAGTTCCTCGAGTGGTCTGGTTTCAGGGAGTCCGCTTTATTGGCGGAACCGCAAAATGTATGGTCTTGATATTATATCGTTTGCAATCGAGAACCGGCAACTATAATCCTGACTGTATCAAAATCCCGACAGTGTTTTTTATTATTTGATAATGACGTAAAATAAATGAATTTAAAAATGAGGGTTTGTGGTGTCTATCTATTACTATTATAATTTTTATTGTTAATTGATAAAAACAAACAAACTATGTATTTTCGAAGTCTTTTAGTCTATACGTATTATTGTATAAAGAAATACATAATTACATAGAAATCTCCTTACTAGAAATTGCTAGTCGCGTCGCACACTCGAACGAGAGCGGACGTATTTTGAATCGTTCCAAGCAGTGTAGTGTTTGGAATGTTAAATTGTTATATTTTGCAAAAAAAAAGAATCGAAATAAGGGTAGGAAGACATCAGTGGGCTATGCCCTAATAGGGGTGTCGCCCTGTTATGGATAGCGACGTTATTTCATCACAACACTCGGCCGGTGAGTCGAGTTATCAGCCGGCGAAGAGAAAAAGAGAAAGATCAAAAACCATTAGCAAAAACAATCCAGTTATCTCCAGTGCATGTGATACGAGATTAGACTGCAATTTCAACGCGATTCAAACATTCAAAATTTCACAGACAATGGGAGCGAGAGAGATGTTGAGAAAACAGAAAATAGAAGACAGAGACGAACAGACCTATGATTTTGACAAAAAATGGATGCCAGGTTTTCAGCAATGAAAACAACAACAAAAAGAACCTAACCCGCCGCCGTTGATAGTACCGGGAATCACGGATAAACAAGTTGCATTAGCCAAATTATTATTTAGTTAATTTTATGTAGTTGGAAGGTTTCCGATGGGAGATCATTCCGCTCACCGCCTATTTTATTTTGTTGGTTTGTTTTTATTCTCTTTTTTTTGTCCACTGCCCAAAGATATTCTACTTAATGCCAAAAATTGGCAGGTTGCGAATAAAATAAACGTTACAAAAAAAATAATTGCTGTTTTGTTTACTTAATAAAATTTCTTAATAAAAATGTTATTTTCTTTCAGATTATAAAAATGTAGTATATGGTAACTACTGTTTGGAATATGTCATTGTAGATTTTTTATGTTTATTTTTGATAGTAAACATTGATTAAAAAAACGCCTGATAATTATGCACCAACCCAATAATAAAAAGATACTGTCGGTATTTTGATACAGTAGGGATTTCGATATAGACCCATTTTTCTCAGCATTAAGTTTATGGAGACAGATCAATTTATATCTAAATAATGTTTTAATATTTCTTTGATTTTTGTTAAATGAAAAAATATAGAACTTCGAGAACTTTTTTTATATATTATATGCTGAGAAAAGAAAATATGTTTATCACTTAAGAAAAAGTCAGGTCTCAATTTTAAGATTCTCAATATTGCAAGTCTATTAAAACAAATTCAACAATCTATATTTGTTATGTTGTTACTTGCATAATATTGTATATTTCTTAAGGAAATCAAGAATTAGCAAGTACCACTTAACCATAAATAGCAGCTTCACCTAAAACTTTTAAAGTTTTCAGCAGTTAAGATTTATGAGCATCTTTTTTATACTTAGAAACAACTAACAAAAAAAAATATAATGGACGGTGGAAAATGTAGAGAAGGCAAGTTTCCAATTGTTTCGGGCGGAAAATAGAAAGTCCGGGGGTTTTGTTTCACTTTCAATGCGGCAAAACTGCTTGGTGAAAGGTCGAAAAGTTCTCTACAACTCCTTCGCACCCCCCCCCCGAAAAAAGCCCATAATTGTTTATAAAGTTTTCGTTCCTTGGCACAGCTAATAAATTTGAATTTTCTATTGTGGCGATATCTGTGCCACACAAAAATAAAATATATATAACTTTAATTAAGTGATTTATCGAGTTATTCCCATTCCGGTACAACTCATTTGCATGCCTCGCCCCTTCAGGCCTCACCCCTCACCGTCGCACGGCATGCGATTTTTATCGCGTCCTTTTACTAATAGCCATCGTGTTAATTCCTTTCTTCCACTCTCGAGCCGGGATTACCACCACCCTTCACATTTGCATAATGCCCTGATTTAATGAACCTTTGCAGGATTGAGACGTTACTTTTTATATATATTTTTTTTTTCGTTTTTGATGCAAATTCTGGAATTCCCAACAACAATATATATTATCTATGTATACTATATAAAAAGAAACAATAAATACCTCAATTGAATTTCATACTTGAATTTTTTTTTATATAATTTTATGAAAATATTATTTATTTAACATTATTATTAGCTTGATACATAATACAGCTTAAAAATTGTATTTGGATAATTATAAATTACATTGTCTGTGTACAATTTCGTAATTGAATAATACATATTAATATATGGAAAATATATTTGATTCAGTCATATAGCAGTAAATGTAATTATATGTTATTTTACATAATTCTGTATAATAATGATTTACATCCTCCGTTGCAGTTATTATTTGAATTACCAAAGAGTTGCAGCATCAACAAATAATTTAATTCTTAATTAAATAATTAATTAAATGTATCAATCAAAAACTATTTACCAAAGTCTTTTTGCCTTAGAAATTATTCATGCATTAATAGAATTCATAATTTGAGTTCGTATGATTGGCTATTATGGTATCAAAACATAAGCTTCATTATACAAATTATAATAAGACGTTTGATACGTTTGGTCTTGAATTAAAACAATATTTGGAAATTGTCTCTGAAGATATTATGGATGCATTAATGAATTCACATGATAATAAAACTAGTATTAAAAAATATTTTATAATTTCATGAAATAAACAATAAATCTAGTGGATTTTGATGTGAACATATATCAAGAAGTAACATCTTTTTATTCTAACAAATGAATTAAATATATTTAGTGTTAAAATGTTTTTTTTTGAGAACTAATTTAAAAACAATTTAAATTTTCAGATACTTCAAATTTATTATTGAATGTTTTATGAAAGAGACAACAAATATATGATAAAGAAAATTATGATTTTATTTTTGACTTTTTTGACTTTCGATTATGAATAAATTATACATAAATACCTCGTTTAGTGTGGGTAATCTGTTCTGACAATACTCCGGGCTGATAAAACCAGACTAATCAAGGAGTTTAAAAATAAATTCCACAAAAAGAGATTTAATTGTATAAAGGGAAAAGTGACTAATCAAGGCCGGATTATGCGAGGTATTGCTGTATAGTCATAATATTTGGCTACATATAACAATTACTAAAATAAATAACAATTCGCATGTTTATATAATTCAAGTTTATATGTAATATTTTGTCATCAATTTCATTTGCTAGAAATTTTGATAATAATCATTTTACAAAATATGAAATGTCTTCATGTTTATTTATAATTTTCCAGTTGGGCTTTGTGGCCGAAATTTCTTATTTTACATGTAAAAATACATATGATAATCGAAATTTATATTTAATCAAAAACATATTTTATAGATATTTTCAATCGATTCTGAAATACAATGTGAACAAAATGTTATTCCAGCTCAATCTCTAATATGAAATAAAGAAATTGTAACAGGAAATCATTTATTTTATTGTTTCGATCGCCGATAAAGCAGTTGTTTACTTCGAATGAAAAAGAAATTCTATTATTAAGGATAATCTGTAGTATTTCAGTTCGCTTCTTTAGTAGCGGGCTTAGCATCAGTGTACTCACAGTATTGTAAAGATATTTACCTATGTTGGTTTCCTCTATTGGTTGGAATTGGAAGGTGGCTTTGAAACCCTGGCCGGGCCAATCGGAATTAGCCACGAACTCTATAAAGAGATCGGATCCTGTGGACAGGATTTCCAGTTCAGTCCCTTCGTTGCAAAGGACTCTGATAGCAGGATCAGCCGATGACTTGCCGTCATACACACGGATCAGATCGGCTCGATTTAGACAACTGAAAAGAAAAGATCATTATCGAAAAAGGGGATTTACTCGGACGCCGCAAAGGACCCAAACACCATTCGGGTCAACTCCCTATCCCCAAAACCCAATCCTTCGCTCCTCCGTCTACAAGTCAAAGCCGAATAGGAAGGAAAAGGAATATAGCAAGGAAAAATAGGGGGAAAAAATATTACATAAAGAAGAAAGACACGAGATTCCGTCTAGGCAAAAAAAAAACATAATAACGCGATGCCGGAACACTTTTCCTCTTTAATTAGGATCAATGAGAGGGGAAGGAATAAAAAAAGGGAGATCTGAAGATTGAGGTCGACGCTTTTAGGATACATCTGTGATCTGCGAGGTGATTCGATTCAGACATACTTTTAAAGGATGCTACAAGGAGCAAAAATAAAATAAAATGAAAATGGGATCTGAAAATTTCATTTCGGTTTGGCATTAAAAGAGATTATACTTAAAAGCAGCCCAAGGCTCATGGATTGATTCCAAGAGCGAAGAAGAAAAACTCGTATTTAGTCTAGGGGGAAAATAATAATCTCATTCTCAGACATGACGACTTTCCACATATTATGATTATACCGACAAAAACCGAGTCTTTTCTTACATTTTTTTCAGTTTTTCTTGAGGAGCGTTACGAACACAACGACTCTTGTAGTATTATGTGAATCCCCGCGCTGATATTTGCTGGGAAAACATTGGAAAATTATACGAAATGCGAGGCTCTTCCTTTAAGAACTTGGGGCTTTGATCTTTATACGCATTTTCCTCCTGATCAGCGATTAGAAAATGCGATCGTATTTAATTGCGGAGATGCGAAAGTTTTCTCTGTCATTTTAGGGGATGGGCAGAAGAGGATGAGGAGGAGGCTTACTAAATATATATGAACGGAAAACTGAGGGCATTGTTTATGCGGAAGTCCCGGAAGTGCAGTTTGTCAGGGATGCAGCCACGTTTTTGTCCATTCGAAATATGTCAGCGACGGGGGTTAATTGTTCCATAAATCTTCTGGTAAATTTGTTAGGAGGTATCGCAAAATTTTATTTCATGCAACGGTAACTTCCAACTTTGCACGAAGCGCTGGGCTTTCATGTCATATTTATACAAACATCATATAAATGATAGTCTCACAATTCAAACAACACATATTCAATTTGATTTTGATTTTCATGTTTTTTGTATTGACTAATTGCTCATAAAATAGTACAATAATACCCACTATTTGAAATCGAATTAATTGAGCATAAAAAAAGTCTCCGACTATTTTGATTTTTCTCAAGTACAAATTGTTTTGAAAGTTTCAAACCGTACTACAGTAATGATCGAAACCGCACTGTGCAAGACATTAGTTCATTCAAAACAATAGTCAGAAATGATTTTTATTTTGTAATCACACTTATAAATTCATTAAAAAAACTGTTTGAAAACCGAATTGCTCGAAAACCGAAAACATTTAAAATTATACTCCTTTTATTTTTTTTTGTAAATTATAAATTCAAATATAATTTAATATTTAAGTTAGTATCTACAAAAATTTATTAAAATATAATTTATTTTTTATTTGAAAAAAAATCTTAAGATGCAGAACTTGCTTTTCAACTCTTAACTTCTTTACTTTCATGGTATAAATAAAGTATTCCAAAGCGGGATCACTTTTTAATACGGACAAACTGCCTCTCGGATGTAGAGGAGGGTTCATCTCTGGTAAATCATAAATCCCATTTTTGGGTATGCAAACATACGATCCGTTGTATCGCGCGGAGAGCGGCAAATCTGCGCTCAGTCTACATGCACAAGAACCAGTTAAATTGAGATCAACTTTATTCCAGGATCCAAGGAGAAAATAGTTTCCACGAGGAGGAATTATTAACGCTGCATATACTAGCAAATATTGATGCAACGTGCACCAGTTCGTCAGCTTCAATATTTACTCTTTAAGCACACGTATTGAATGTAAATGATATTTGCGTAGAATGCCTGAAGGAGAAATAATGGCCTTTTTTAATATCTCCACGGTCCGTATTTCTATATACGCTTTGAATTGTATCAAATATTAAAATTGTTTCAACTGCGGAAAGTCAGAAAATAAATGGACAAAGAGGTTTAGCACACAGCTGTCAACAAGAGTTATGGTATAATTAAAAATGAATTAATGATTACTTGTTAAATACAATTATATTTGTTTAATACTTATTAATAACCTAATTAGTAAAAATAATTATATTTTTAAAGTACTAATTAGCTCTTATTTAACTAACCGGTCAATTTGACCTATTCATTTTTTAAATATAAATTTGTCTGTGATGTTTGTAATTGAGCTTCCTCCTGTTGCTGCATTTTCTCAAAACATAAATGTTAATCAACTGCTAACCTCGCAATAGTGTAGAAGTTGTTAGATGTTATAATATTTTCCTTCCATCCGGGTCAATTTAACCGTAAATTATTGCTTTTGCTATATCAACATAGTAGCAGTTACCAGTTAATAATGTATGCATGAAATTACTACAAACTAAGTGAATTAAGGGGATCACCAGTAAATTATTTTCATTTATGATTTTGTTTTTGGTTTACAAACTCTTCGTTCGCATTAAAGTACTTTACGTTCATACGAACGTACACTTTGCTGTTGAAGTTCAGAAATATGCTTATATCTATAATTATATTTTAATATTACTAGTTATATTAGTATGTTTCCTTTTTATCTAAAACGAGTATTATGAAAATAATATTTTTTTCTCAATTTTAAAGTAAAACTTCTACCCTTAAGCAGAACTCAAATACATAATAGATGGATATTTGTAAAATAGTTTGGTCAACGTGTTTTATGTATTACTATTACGTGTATATTGTATGCATTTGGATTAAATAAAATAACTTATATATCCGTACAAATATTACAAATACCATTATCCATTTGTGGATACCAATGAATATACAGTGGTTGATCGATTAACAAATAGTTTGAACTTTGTACAAATGGGAACGTTTGCAAGAGATTTTTATATTCGGACAACAAATACATGTTCGAATACCGAATACCTTACAGAACTCTTCTTAATAATAGCCATGCTTACAATTTTGCATAATCATAGTCTTCTATGTAAAGCACAGGTTAGCAAACTAGATTAAATTACCTCAAATGGTGTAAAAAAATAAATTCTTTGATGTAATTGGAAGTATACCAATCAAAATTTTGTAAATTTGTATATATTAAAAGCTGTAAAAACTTCTAAAAATGCACATGCAGTAAAAAGGATGCCTTTTGCAACAAGTTACATTATATTTCTTTTCAGGATATGGCAGATATAACCGCCTATTGTCCGCAAATGGTGAAATTTGATTAAATTGGAGAAGAGGAAAACCATTGTAAAAGTAGATATAATTGTCCAAAACCGGTAGTTTGATTTGCATTCAAATTGGTATAATGAGGTTTAACAGTTCTGTTCGCAATGCATCTATACAGAAGGACGGATGGGTGGTCACAGGGCAGGACGTTGTAAGACATGGTGAAACATTGATTTACGGCCGATACAGACGCATGTTGTCGCCTTTCAAAACCCACTAAATCTCTTCCCACACGAAGCAAGTCCATAGATACTTGTATATATAGGTGAATGTCAAGGAAGTACAAACAAGGCAAAGGCAATCTTTCAATCTCACCGGATATACATATATATTATTTTTTTATCAACCGCCCGCATTCATCTGTTTAAAATATGGAATGAGTTCATATTCCTGAAAACCAACAACGATGAGAAAAAAGTAAAAAATGAGAGAGAGAGAGAGAGAGAAAACAAGCAGCGAAAAAGTTTATCCAATAAAACTTTTTGCAATTTCCCATCAGACGGAGGCCGAGTGAGGATAATAAAATCGCTCCTGCTTGTGTTTATTTATCATTGGCTCCCTTTATTCCAACGCCGCCGGAAATTAGCTTATTGCTAGTAATTTAATACCCTTGCATTATTCCACTCTCGTAATTCGCACGCATCCCCTTGCGCAACGAATAAATCAAGGAAATAACTTTTGCATCATCCACTCCGCTATAGATTGCTTCTTTCAACAATCCTTTAATAATATAGGTTTTTGCAATTTATTTTTAATAGGATTTACAATTGGTTGAATAAAGATTTTCATAAATCTATACATACAAAAGTTAGTTAAACATTTATTGAAGATATAGGATATTCATATTTATTTTATAGACTTCTTACTAATAAATATCAATTAGTATTGGCAAAAATCTCTTTGGCCCTTTTTCTACCCCTTTCGGGTTTATGGGCCCACACAATTTTTTGTTGTTTTTTGGGATAGAACCAACGTCATTATGTATCGGATTTTCGTCATACAGGTGACTATAGCCAACTTAATTTTATTACTCGATAACCATTTGCTGATAAAGGGCGGATATATCCGCCCTATCCATTAGAACTGGGATCAGTAAAAATTATGATTAGTAAACCTGCTCATTACATTTTATAGCTTGTTATAAATTTTAAAAAATACTGTTCTCTTCTAATACATATACTCTTATCAAACATTACAGTATTTATATAAATGCTTGTTACAATTGTTTTCACTCAATGTTTAATATATTTTTCTATAATTACATAACATTTCATATGTGCATTTTTATTCTCGCAATAAAATATTTAATATTTGCATATAAAAGTATTTATATAAGGATAATACATGTGAAATTATTGATTTGAATTATTTTTATGATTTATTGTGATTTTCATATTTAATTTCACTTCTGTTTTGTCTTTTTTATTTTTATAGTATATTTATTCAGATATTGCTAATATTTTATTACTTATATTCATTAGTTAACAATATATATTTCCATTATTTCCGACTTAAAACTTGTATTTATTATAATAATAAATTTAAAAAAAATAAATTTTCAACATATATTTTGCGAAACAATGGAATTAGTAGCATCGTATGGTTTACGCTTAAGGACTGTTTAAGTAAAGTGGTAATCGTTACACAAC